TTGGTGTAGAAATCTAAGTTCAATGATATTCTCTATGAAATCTTCAGTTTCTTACTACAAAATATTTTTGTTTAGGTTTTAAAAATGGATATTAACATTCAACGATTTAAAATATCAGTATAAAAGAGTTCAAAGATTAGAAGAAATAATAATTTTTTTATTACATAAATTAGAAAACAAATCCGCGAGTTATCCCATAGAAAAATCTACTTCGAACTCATGTACTCTTAGCCATACAATACTGTATACACAATTCAATGTGTACACGTACACCATCAATACACCATCATATACATCCTATATACTATCGTATACAAAAAAACCTTGTACACTGCATTTTACACGGTGTACACTTTGTGTACATTTTTCTTCTCCACTTTTTCACACACATCCCTCTATTAGTGTAATAGTTAAAAAAGTATATTTTTTCAATTTGCTACAATAAATTATATACTTTTTTAAAAATACATACTTTCCTAACTAACCCTTTTAAATGTCTGTTTATTTGACTATGAAAATGATACTAAGAAAAACAATCAACCAAAGATCGAGAAAATTGCTTGATAAATTGAAGAAATATGATCAGTCTCACTGACCAGGTCCTAAAATAATTTATGTGATCATTGATACTAATCTGTTTTATATTATCTCCGTGATCATTGTTACTAATCTGTTTTATATTTGATAACAATCCTATCTGTGTGAATAGCTTCCTGCTGCAGCTGAAGCAGTAAAATGTCTTGCTACACTCATTACTGTGTGTTTGTCTTGACTTACGGTAAATTATCTGTGAAGACTCCAACTGCAGCTGAAACTGATCTGAGCCTAGGAGATGGTGTTCTCGAAACAGTTCATGAGCCTGGAGCGACTTCTATGATATCTTTAACCTGCCAGGTACCAATCTAGTACGCAATATTATAAAGCGATTGACATATGCTGTATATCCATCAATCAATATGGTTATTAACTTTGTCGACAATTCTTTTCGTATCAGTTTTGGTTTCTGCCTTAACTGTTAAATTCACCTAATGTTCGATTGTCAATATATAATCTGAATCTTTTGGCCGTATAATCGATCTTCCACTTAACGTTCTAAACTTTTTTAACTTCTAACAATGAATACCTTTTGGGGTTGGTTTAACCGGATTCAGTAATTTTTTGTTTAGCTTGAATTAGCTCTTATTATCCTCTTCATTCAAGCCAAGCCCACACTTGGAAGAAATTGGCTTGTGTAAATTTAAAAGTAACGAAGCAGAATTTATTTGCTTGCATTAGTGAAAGAGAAAGCATACGAGAGGAAACATCACAGCTTGAAAAAGGCAAGCCAAGAAGGTAAAGGACAGAAAATCTATCCACATGAATCAAATTGTGGAGAAACAAGCCGGCAAATCGCCATTAATGGACGACAAGGAGGAATAATAAATCTGTTTCAGGTCTTGATGGTTCTCATCATTTTCTGAAGCAAAATCACCAAACCGCAGAGTGCCACAGTGACCATGATGATCTTCGTTGGAACCTTGCATGTTCTTCATTTTACCAGATCCCTTCTCTTGATACTCTGGTTGTAAGCTTACAAGCGCAGGACACTGCTCTTGGGCCAACACCGCGCTGAGGTCGATCTGGCTTGTGTATTCTCCTAAGAAGGTCGAATCTGATGATGAGGTGTTTAGTAGAAACGATGGGATTTCATTACACGAGCTGAGCCCTGGAAACTGAGGTGGTGTTTCTTGTGTCGCAAGAAAGAGATTTGTGAGGTATTGTTGGTCTAAACATGAGACCGGATTAAAAACGTTGGTGGGTTTGTCATAGGAAGTGCAATCCAAGTAAGCGAAAGGACTTATAGTGGCAACAGGAGGATTTGTACTAATACTACTTTTGGGAGTGTTCATATAATTCTCATGGTGAAACTGGAAGTGAGAGCTAGTTTTGAGGATCTTGTCTAAAGAAAAGTGGGTTGTGTTTGGTGGCTTTTTATCGGACATTGTGTCGGTGCTTGTCTCTGGTTGTAACGAGGAAACAAAGGAATGAGAGAGAGCTCTTAGGGTCGTTGTGTTTGTCTTTTTGAAGATTCTGCATATTGCCCATGAATCCTGCAATATCATATTTCGAAAATGAGTTGTGTAATCTATAACAAAATAAGACTCCTATTATTTCAAGCACAAACATTTGCAGTTTTTTTCATTTAAATGTTTTTTTTATTTTGTAATATATTTTTCTATGGTTAAGAAAAAGTCGGATAAAAATAACTTATTTTATTTTCATAAAATAAAATTTATAGTAGACAGGGAAAACACAAAAAAAGAAAGATTTAAGCTTAAAATCAAAAGTGACAAGGACATGAAAAAACTTAAAATCAAAGGGAAAAATTAAAAAAGAATGTGTCCCAAAAATCCATATATT